ATGATGAGCCAAGACAAAGGTCTAGGGAACTTTAGGAGAAATGGGAAGGGAAACAAAGTGTCTTACTCCAAGAAAGAAAAAATTGTACAAAGAATCACAGAGATGGGGACGAAGAACCTTCACATGTTAAATTGCTTCAGTCGCATCCGACTGTTTGCAACACCATGGACTGTAGCCTGTCAGGCTCCTCTGTCCATGGGATTCTCCAGGCAAGAACACTGGAGTGGGTTACCATTTCCTCCTCCAGGGGATCTTCCCAACCCAGGGATTGAACTCGCATTTTTTCTGTCTCCTGCATTGGCAGGCAGGTTCTTTACCACTAGCACCACCTGGAAGCCCATGGAAGAATCTTTGGGTAGCAGAAATGTGGACTCCTATAAAGGTATAAGCAGCTGCCAGAAGTAGGAATATATGTATGAAGGAGAAAGGGGAATTTTTAAGAGCGAAGTTTCATTTGGATCCTGGTAATTCCCATAACCTGCTGCTGGCGCACCCAGGGGATGGCACACCCCTCCCTCAGGAGATGACAGTCACCACCTCACAGCCAAAGACTTCCTCTGGGGACTTTAGAATGCATTCCCTGATTGCAGGCTGGGAGAGCACTCCACAGGAACCAAGGACCCAGGGAAGCATTTATGTCAGGCTTGCATTCCCAGCAAAGGATTCTGAGGGGTGCCTAAAGGAAGGGGCCGTTCCTGGGTTGCTTGCTATTTCTCAAGCCGGATTAGGAGAAGCAGGGATTAACTAAGGATTGAGTGCTATTTGTAGCTAAGCCATGGGCTATCCACGGTAATAAGTGAAAATAGGTAAGTGGGTCTGTGACTGGTTATTACGGCATTTTACAGCTTTGAGAACAAAAGATGTTTTCTGTTCATTGCAACTGGTCTTCTCTCTCTCTGTCCTCCCAGCCTGATGGTTAAAGGCAGGGCTGCTTTTTCCTTTCTCAGTGTGAGCTGATTTTTATTCTTTCAGTATTGGTTAGGTTTTTTCCTTTCAGTCCCATCTTGACCAAGGGTAAACAATGTCAGCCCTTAGGACGCTATTCTGTGAAATCCAGTTGTTCAGTCATTTAGTTGTGTCCGACTCTTTGCAACCCCACGGACTGCAGCACACCATGCTTCCCTGTCCTTCACCATCTCCCAGACCTTGCTCAAATTCATGTCCATTGAGTCAGTGATGCCATCCAACCATCTGTTTCTCTGTTGCCCACTTCTCCTCCCGCCTTCAATCTTTCCCAGCTCAGGGTCTTTTCCAATGAGTCAGCTCTTCACATCAGGTGGCCAAAGTATTGGAGCCTCTGCATCGGTCCTTCCAATGAATATTCAGGATTGATTTCCTTTAGGATGGCCTGGTTGGATCTCCTTGCAGTCCAAGGGACTCTCAAGAGTCTTCTCCAATACCACAGTTTAAAAGCATCAATTCTTTGGCATTCATCCTTCTTTATGGTCCAACTCTGACATCCATACATGGCTACTGGAAAAACCATAGCTTTGACTAAATGGACATTTGTTGGCAAACTTTTAGCTCTGCTTTCTAATATGCTGCAGTCTAGGTTTGTCATAGCTTTTCTTCCAAGGAGTAAGGGTCTCTTAATTTGCTGGTTGCAGTCACCATTTGCAGTGAGACCCAGATCTTCCCCATAATCCAGAATAGACCTAAAGGCAGTTCAGAGATAGATTTTATTTTCCTGGGGTCCTAAATCACTGTGGATGGTGATTGCAGCCAGCAAATTAAGAGACCCTTACTCCTTGGAAGAAAAGCTATGACAAACCTAGACTGCAGCATATTAGAAAGCAGAGCTAAAAGTTTGCCAACAAAGGTGCATATATCCAAAGCTATGGTTTCTCCAGTAGTCATGTATGGATGTGAGAGTTGGACTGTAAAGAAGGCTGAGTGCTGAAGAATTGATGCTTTCAAACTATGGGGCTGGAGAAAACTCTTGAGAGTCCCTTGGACAACAAGGAGATCAAACCAGTCAGTCCTAAAGGAAGTCAATCCTGAATATTCATTGGAAGGACTGATGCTGAAGCTGAAGCTCCAATACTGGCCACTTGATGCAAGGAGCCTACTTATTGGGAAAGACCCTGATGCTGGGAAAGACTGAGGGCAGGAGAAGGGGATGACAGAAGATGAGATGGCATCATTGACTCACTGGACATGAGTTTGAACAAGTTCTAGGAGATAGTGAAAAGGAAGCCTGGTGTACTGCAGTCCATGGGGTTGCAAAGAGTCAGACACAACTTAGCAACTGAACAACAACAACAGTTCAGAGAACCTCATGTACAGGCAGATAAGAGAAAGCTGCTCATTCCTTCTGTTGTCTGATAAACTGTGGATCATCTGATCAGACAGTAGCTGTGCATTAGCATCTGGATTCTGGAGGTCACACAATTGAATTCTGCAACACAGACAAATACTTGCGGAATAGATTATGACCAGGGTGTATAGTCTATTTCTTAACCAAGGGACAAATTCACTCAAATTTGTACCAAGAACAGGTTCCACCCCCATTCGGCAGAGTCTGTAGAAACAGACCCAGGAATATTAGCTATGCTCAGTTGAGTATGAACTCACGTTTAGATTAATGTAGATAGAGAAGGCTTCATGTAGAAATATAAATATATATAATACATACATGGCTAACCATACACACAGTTTCCTTTGTTCTGTCAGCTGAGGGGACCTGGAGTCAACACTCCACTAGCATGATTGCACCTACTGCCCAGATTTGGGTTTCTAATACCATTCTCTAATAAAAGAAACCAGGGCTCTTTGGAGAAATAACTGATTCTAGGACTGGGGCAGAAAATACAAGATAAAGCTAGAGCAGCTTGCAGTGCCAGAAAGTAAATAAGTGTTTCTGAAAGATACAAGGAAGAAGAGAGAGAGGAAAAGAGTGAAAGAAAACACACGTGCGCTCTCAAGGAAGGGACACAGGGCAACTGACAGGGTTCCCATGGCCAAAGCTGGGATAACCTGAGCAAGAAAATAAGGTACTGTTGGATTGTAACTCAAAGGATAAAGGAAATATCCATGAGTCTATGCTGCTTTAAATAAAAGATTGAATAAGTTTAAAAATGGGAGAGAAGAGACAAATCTCCCATGCAGAAGGATTTCAAAACTTTTATGTAGATACTTTGCCCTTAAGGAATGGAACACAACGCCCACTCCTGGAACGTGAGCTGCCCGTGGTGACTTCCTTCCAAAGAGCACGATATGAAAAGATGGGGATGGCGGGGGTGGGAGGAACTTAGGAGTGGTGGTGACTTTAGAGTGGAGAAACTTGACAAAACTACCTCAGCCAGGTAATCAAGACCCACATCAGCGGTGGGAAGTCTTACTGATGTACCCTTGATAAGATGTGATGAGAATGGTACTTCTTCAGTCTTCCCCCAGAAAACCCATAACCCTCATCTAGTCATGAAAAAACATCAGACAAATGTCAGTTGAGGGATATGCTACAAAATACTGATATCGTTGACAAAATAAAGCACTCCTCCAAACTGTGAAGGTTGGCAAAGACAAGGAAAGTCAGAAATTGTCACAGCCAAGAGGAGTCTAAGCAGACTGATAACCACATGTAATATGGTCCCTGGATGGGATCCTGGAACAGAAAAAAGACATTAAGTAAAAACATGAATCAACTGTGGCCTTTTTAGTTAATAATGTAATTAGAAGCTTATTTTTAAGACAGAGTGTGTGTTTCTGCCCCTCTGCTCAAAAAAAAAAAAAAAAAAAAAGGCTGAAAACCCCTAAATATTTCAGTTCCATGGGGACTTTTGAGGACAGCTTTCTCTTGACTAATTTCAACTTTCATCGTCTCGTAGGGCATATATTTAAGCAGTCAAGTTTTACTCTGTCATTAGTTAAAACTTAAGCACTGCTTTTGCAACAAGTGGGCCCTTTCACCTCTGTCAGCTAATGACTTTAATCATAATATATTCCATTCTCTTGAGAAAAGGTCCACAGTGAGGTTTGAGGGAGTTTTGGGGAGTTTGGGGGCCGTGTGTCTGTGTGTGGTGCCAAAAGTTCAGCTTCTGTGTACACCATTGGAGAATCAAATCTCAGAGACAGAATTTTGGGTAAAGAAGAAAAGGACAGCTTTATTGCTTTGCCAGGCAAAGGGGGCCACAGTCTACTAATGCCCTAAAAACCATGTGTCCTCACTTAGGGAAGACAGTGACAAGTTTTATAGCAGTTGTTCAAAGAGGGCCAGATCAGCTCATGGACATTCTTCTGATGGGTTGGTGATGAGGCAAGTAGGAGTCCAGCATCCACCTTCAGGTCCAGCTGGTCTGGGGTCTCCACGCTTGTGGGCAGCCTATCATCACTGATCGTTAACTTCTCCTACCTGGCAGGGGTTTTGGTCTCTGCAAATCACCTCAAAGATATTATTGTGTGTATCCACTGATAGGGAAACAGGATCTTGCCCCAAGTCTGCTCTTGACTGTTTGTTTCTCCTTGGTCTCCCATCCCCCTCCCTTCCCTAATTAGTAACTGCTTGAATCTGCCCCTTGGAACTTAGGGAAGGTCATGGATGAAAGCTGTTTCTTGTAATCAAAGAATCGGAGGGCACAGATAGGCCTTTTGCCCAGGAATCCCCCAAAGGGGTTCGATATCATGTGTTAGCCCAAATGCTGGTTAAGTAGCATTCATCTGACTTTCCACTCAGGTCACTTGTTAGATATGTGACTTTGAGCAAACCTAACTCACTTTCTCTTAAATGCATCACTGGAATCTAGGCCTTCACTAAGAATCTATTGTGTACCAGGCCCTGTGCTGAATCCTGGGAAGACAGAGGAGTGCAAAGTGGCCTCTGTCCCCCCATGGGGTTTGTGGTCCACAGTAATTAATATTACAAATAATTAATCAAGTTCTCTCATGTGAAAGGTGAAAGTGAAAGTGCAAGTCACTCAGTCGTGTCCGACTCTTTGTGACCCCATGGACTTTACATTCTATGGAATTCTCCAGGCCAGAATACTGGAGTGGGTAGCCTTTCCCTTCTCCAGGGGATCTTCCCAACCCAGGGATTGAACCCAGGTCTCCCGCATTGCAGGCAGATTATAAGCAAAAGCAAATAATCCCAACTTCAACACACACTACCAAGCAAGGGATGTGCTGTCCTGGGGAAAGTGAGGCTTTGGCAAGATCCAAAGGATGGGAGGGGACAGGAAGGCCTGCCGGGCAGAGGTGGGGCACAGGAGGCCAGCGCCCGGGGGGGCATGGTGGGCAAATGCCCTGGCCTTCACCTCAGTCCTCTTCAGTTATTTAGCCAGTCTGGGGAGATGTGCTGAATCTGGAGAGAAAGACATAAAAAGGGACAAGTGTCTCAAACATAATTGGCCATGCTTAAAGTCCTCTCCTGTTAGGTCCATACCATTTCTGTCCTTATTATCAAACCCATCTTTGCATGAAATGTTCCCTTAGTATCTCTAATTTCCTTGAAGAGAACTCTAGTCTTTCCCAGTCTGTTGTTTTCCTCTATTTTTTTGTATTGATCACTGAGGAAGGCTTTCTTATCTCTCCTTGCTATTCTTTGGAACTCTGCATTCAAATGGGAATATCTTTCCTTTTCTCCTTTGCTTTTC